GTTTTGGGTGTTTTTTGAGTTTTTTTTTTTTTTTTTCTGTTGGGCATCAATGGCAGTCCTGTAATTTATAAAAACTTCAACACCAATTTCTTATATAGTAAATGGATTTTGGGTGTGTTTCTAAAGTGCATTCCATGTGGGGTTTTTTTATAATTTCAACTCCTATTTTGGGTATATTAGTAAAGTTCCCTTTTATTTTAGGGTAAAATCTTGTACCTGGTAATACGCGCAGGTGCTAAAGCTTAACTAGCGTGAGATGACAGGTTTACAAGGTTGCTTCAGGTCAAAGTTATTTATTTTGATCACCTCTATTTAATGACAATGCGACATCAACATGCTGCAAATGGTTATCCTCTCATGAGAATATAGTAGATGCGGATGCCTTAAAAGATGACATAATACCCATAATTTGATTTTCCCATCAGGGTTTAAAGCCAACAACGAAAAGGCAACAGAAAATAGGACAATCACAATACGCAAATTGTTACATAAGCTTATACTTAATAGCAACACTAATCACGATCCATGCAAATATACTTCAAAGTCAAGCTGCCTCGAAGTTCAGAAAAACAGAAAAATTAATACAAATGCATTTCCTAGTCAACGCCTCTGAAGGCTCCCACTATTACAGTCCGAAGAGGCATATCACACCGAATATGCATTCCAAGATAGCTTAGATAAGGAGTTTCTCAATGGCATCCTGCAATTTACACATAAAATGTTCAGTATGTAGGACCAAATCCAAGCATTAAGGAAACCTAAAACGAAGAGTACCTTGAGCTGTTGTATTTGCGACTTCAATTGACTTCCCTCATTGGAAGTCACAGAACACGCAATGACAGGTCTCGTGACACCACAGGCTCGGCCAAGTGCTTGCTTCGAAGGGACAAAAACGTAGGGAACATTCTGCCAAATTCAAATAGAACACTTGTAAAGTGCTTTAAATTGATTTAAATCACTAGGAGAATCATCCAACTAAAAAGTAAGGATTTTGAAGCTTCAATATAATAAACTAAAAAATCATGAAGAAATAAACATAAAATACTATCTTGCGCATGGTCTTTCATGTCTGCAACCAATAAGCCTTGCTTACTGAAATGCTTGCGCCAAATGGGATGCACAAGGGCTAACCTTCAAATAGGCAATTAGGTGCATCTATGTCCAGCCATGGACCACAATCCTACCAACTAGGGTAAATACCTAACTGGTCTGCTTTGGGTCAAATATAACACAATCAGTGCCACGATATACAACACAAAACAAGTATGCAATCAAACACAACCAAAGGGGTAATACTTTTCTCTCACTTCATTTTTGCGTGTAAAACATCAAACACTTGGAAACTACAGTAAGTAGCTCTTAACAGACGAGAACGAATCATAATAGGGCAAACAATAAGCCTAAAAGGAAACATTTAATCCACAAAAGGTGAGCAAATAAAAATAGAATTTCAGAATGTCATTGTGAAAAGCAGCAATAGTTGAATTTATTGAACTATCCTCATATGAGAAAAAGAACACAACACTCTCCCATCATCCAATAGAGTTGCAATCAAAGAATCAACGCCATTTATGACCCTAAAATTTCAGTGGCACAGATATGTAACAGGAATGATGAATAATACCTTATCTTCAGCCAACAGGGGAAGGTGAAGAAGAATCTCAATCGGCTCAGTGTCACACGCCATCACTACGAACTCAGAAATACCCCTGTTCAGGGTCTTAGTCGCTGAAAAACAAAACCCATAAAACAAATGTTAAAATCTATATATATATATATATATATATATATAAACAGATAAAAACAGAAGCAGGCAGCCATGGCATTGAAATCTGAGCATTTAACGTACCTTCATTGGCACCCTTTTTAAGCTGCTTGTAGTTAGCTGCCTGTTGAACCAGGTCGAGTATTGTGATCGTCAGCTGCGCATCGGCCAAAGGGTACGCTTTTGCGTTCACTGCCTCTCCTGTCTGCAATTACATTCATACACAAACAAATTAATAAACAAACAAATGACAAACACAATCAATCAACCATGCTCTCTAAGCTGAAAACAAAGATGAAGAGCAAGATACTACCATTGTGTGGTCGATTTCGGGTTTTTTTTTTTAAGACGGAGGAGAGAGAGCGAGAGTGAGAGACGGAGTCGAGAAAGAGAGAGGGAGAGAGAACGGCGGTTGGATTGGATTTGATGAAGAAGAAGAAGAAAAGAGGAATTAGGGTTATAACTTATAACCCGAATATTTCATATGTGTATTTTTCGGGTTGGGCTTATATCACCTAAGGGCATGAGATTAAGAGATATTGGGCTTATACCTTACCTAAGGGCCATATATAAGGCCATTATTATAGAATGACTCGGATTGATTGATAGACAATGATAATTCATTTTCTAGATATCCAAAGGTCATATATAAGGCCGTTACTATAGAATGACTGGGATTTATTGATCGGAAAGGCTATAATGAGGGCTTAAAGTAAGGAGGTCAAATCTCACCATCAACAAATGTAAAGAAATCATGGGACTTAAATATTTTAAATGTTTTGACGGTCGGATCGGTCTCCTTAAATAACCTCCTCACTTTAGCTCCTCATTGTAGAAGCTCCCTTTATTAATAGACAATGATAATTCATTTTCCGTGTATCTAGGCCCATGTTGTTGCCCTTATTCGATCAGCCCACAAATAGGGGCATGAAACCCAATAACTTTGATGGACGTTGACTTTAGGCATTAAAATATAATAGAGGGAATATATAAGAAAAGTTGTAGAATAATAAGCATCAAGTGGTCGTGCCGGAGTGGTTATCGGGCATGACTAGAAATCATGTGGGCTTTGCCCGCGCAGGTTCGAATCCTGCCGACCACGTTTTGATATTATTTTTAGAATTTGGAAGAGGAGAGAGATTGTGACTTGCATTTTGCTCTGTTTTGCTTCCTCTCCTTCTTCACTCTACACAATACAGTACTCTTTTTGTTT